TTGATAAATGATCTATAACAACTAAAATTGCTGTGTTCCCCCTTCTTGTTTCTGGTAATTTGGTGATTATGTTAAGGTTTGGGCTTGTCTTAGCTTAGGCTATGAGGAATGGCTTTGTACACAGCTAAACAGATAGATAGAAGTGAATGTCATTCGTTAAGATACAATAGAGTAGTAGTGAGGCTTTTATATGTGTGCCGTGTGAAGTATCGGAGGCTAAGCCGCCAGGGCGGCGGGTTGAATGTGCGGCGGTATCTGAGGCGGAATTGGGAAATGTGGGAAGTAAACTGTAAGTTAAGGGGTTATGCTTAAGGCGTGGTCTCGTCACCTAACAGATTAGGTCAATGCGGACGATATCCCATTTCTTCTGTGGTATTGGTGATGGTCTTGCCAATCCCCTTGGTGGTTGGGTTGCCGTTTTGGCAACCTGTCATGTCTTACAACTGGTAACGTACCGTTTAATGTCCTCGTACATTCCTTGCTAATAATAATATCTTGCAATTGAGTTATGGGTTTTTTCGGTGCCCAGGTGTCCGGCTACTGGTGTGTCATGCATGTCGTGGAGAATAATATCTCTCGTTTCTCCTTTTGGTAATACCAATCTCTCTTTGTCAATGTCTCCTGGTTGTGCGTTGAATGCTAGTAGTTCCTCTCGGATCTTTTATGTGTCATTCGTGTTGTTTTCGTTATTTTGTATATTTTCTAGTTTTTCTTTAATTTTTTCATCTTCCTGATAATCTCTTTTTAGCTTTTCTTGAAATGTTTCTTCCATCCTTGTTAAATCTAGTACGTTGAGTTCCATCTTCCTTGACAGTGCATCTGCCAGCTTGTTATCCTTTCCTGGCTTGTATTTGACCTCTATATCATACTCTGCCCAAAGCTCTGACCATTTTGCTACTCTTGAAGAAAATTCTGCTTTCCTAAATGTTACGATCGTTTTGTGATCTGTGTTAACCGTAATACTTCTGCCCAGTAAATAGTGCTTCCATTTTGTGATTGCCACGATGATTGCGTATAATTCCTTATCTCTAATGCTCCAGTGTAGTTGTGAACCGTTTAACTTCTGAGATAAATACGCTACTGGTCTTTTTCCCCGTTCTCTTTTTGCTCCAATACGGCGCCGACTGCTGACCCTAATGCGTCTGTTGTTACCTTGAATTTTCCAATTCTGGTTGGAATCTTAAGGACTGGTGCTGACGCTAATTTTCTCTTCAATGTATCAAAATTCCTTTGTTGTTTCTCTCCCCAGACAAGTTTATTGTTTTTCTTTGTTAATTCTGTTAGTGTAACTAAAACACTTTCTAGATCGCACTGGAACCTTTGATGACATCACTATCACATGAACTCAATCCCGAGAATCTTCCAGAACTTTCTCTAGACTATTAAGGCTGTTTTTTTCTCTTGTTTATAGATGCTTTTCATACATAAAAAACCTAACAATCTATTATATCAGGTAGCCTTTAATCGGTATTGTTACAGTTAGTGGTAGTTATATCTGACTTAGGTTAGGTATAAACATCTTGTAATACTGTAAAAATCTCATAAATGACTGAAATTCTGTTAAGCTGCTCAACTTTGGCCATTCTGTTACTACCTTAACTTTGTCGTCTCTTGGTTGCACACCGTTTTGATCCATGACGTAACCTAAAAATTTTATACGTTTCATGGCAAATTCACATCTGATAACTTGCCATATAATTGGTTCTCCTTTAGCTTTTTTAAGACCAAATTGAGGTGCTTTAATGTTCTTCGTATGTCCTACTGTATATTAGTATATTGTCGATGTATACCGCGACATATTGATCCAATTTATTCTTTAAAATGTCTTGCATCAAGTATTGGAAAGTTCCTGGCGCGTTACGTAGACCAAACGGCATAACCTTGAATTGGAAGTGCCCATACTTGGTGTTAAACCCGGTTTTCTCTTCCTCTTTCTCGTTTTTACGTACCTTGTAACAATACCTATTATAGGTTACTTGATATAATGGATTGTTAGGCTATTTAGGTATGAATAATATCTGTAAACAGGAGAGAAAAGCAGTCTTAAAT